CCCACCCCCATACACACACCCACCCCCGCACCCTCCCTCCATCACCCACCCCCAGAGTTCCTGGACTCCCACCAGAGGTTCAGACATATCTCTCTGATGGTTGAGTCTTCCTGTCTCTCTCCCCAGCTGACAACAATCAGTGATACATGGTCCTGAGGAAGGGGAATGGTTAATGGTAAACTGACAGGTCACCGGAATAGATAAAAGCATGTTCCACAGAGGTTTATTTTCCCCATTTGTGACCCAGCAGAATCGCTCTTATTGGATAGTGAAAGAAAGACACAAGAGCCACACTGAAACAACTTGTCTCCAGCAATGGGAATGTCATTTCTTTAAAAAAAAACAAGCAGGATGTGAATGCGTTCCAGTAATCTATAATTACAGCTGTCTGCCTGGGTAACCAAAATCGGTGGGGGGGGTGGGGAATGCTAAATTGGGCCTGCAAACTGTGCTCTGGGATAAAGAGAGAGAGACAGAGACAGACAGAGAGACAGAAACTGCACACAGCCTGTGTACAGGAGGGAGGGGGAGAGGAAGTCAGAGCAAGTTAACACACACTCCCCCATCTGTCGCCCTCGTGACACATGTTGACAAAGAAAAGCCACTGTAGACAGGCAGTTAGCTGGTTAGCACAGTCTGCCTGGAACAGCAAACAGGCCACTCCATTCACATGTTTCCTTGGAATTTGTGAATGGGGCCTGGAGTCATTCTTTGCTCCTGGAGCTGCCCCAGGGTGACTCGTCCCCCATTGGTGAGAGGTTCATTTCCCAGTTTGTGACTGAAGTCAATCCCCACACAACACGTGGCTCAGAGACCAACGACAAGTTTCACAGAAGATTAAATTGAGCGTTTTTCCAATAACGGGGCCTGCCGTTGGGTATGAGGGTGGCACTGTGTTGCCGTGGCTGCATGTTGCTTGTTGAAGAGAGTTGACCGAAGCAGTTCACTTGAGGACCCAGTGAAGCTGACCTTATTGCCGGACATTGCCATGGATACAGTGACAGGCAGTACACAGGGAAGGTTGAGGAGGGTTGGGGGCTAGGGTTTTCAGGCGATCCAATGTGAGCGCTTCAATCCTGACCACTTCCCCAGGGCTGAGGACAGCGCACTGGGTCATGGTCATAGGCTCTGGCCCCCCAGTGTGCACTCCATCAGGGATCACAGCAAACTCAGACGCTGTGATCGCTCAGAATCCCCTTGTCCCTCAGGGATCACTGGCTCAAATCAGAGCAGCATGGACCCACAGGCTCTGCGGGGGGGCCACGGCACGGTAGGGTTACATCAGCCAATAGTTTCCTGAATTGGTCCAAGTCATAGGAATATTCAGAGACCCTCCCCACCCCACTGCTCTGTGGGGAAGCATGATCCAAAGGCTACAGACCCTCAGAATAATTCTTCTCATCTTCATCTTAAACAGGCGACTCCTTTTATTTGTTCTAAACTGGCCCCCTAGATCTAGTCTCTCGCACAAGGGGAGACACCCACAATAGGAGAGAGCAGAACTGGTAGTGTAAAGGTCAGAGATGGAAATGAGGCATCTGAACTATAAAGGGAATATTGGCCACAGCCCATGCCTTTTCATGGAGTTCCATTTAAATCAGCTTATGTAATGGAGCTTTATAAAGGCTACATTTGTTACAAATGGGAGCAGAGATTTTGTGGCGAGTGTGGCAGTGGTCTGGTAAGACTAATTTTCTCTGTAGTTCCATCTGCTTTCAATTGTGTCACCTCCATGTCATATGAAAAGTTATGTATGGAGACAACATGTCCTAAAATTTGTTTCACAAACACTCAAAAATAAAACTGGCTCACTCCCTTTGTGGTCAGGATCTGATAGTCAATTCAGAGAAAGCAATCCTTAAGTAGGATATCACATCCTGATGCTAGCTGCTAAAGGCCTGTGCAGAAATTCACTGCAAAATACTTCAGAATAAATCATTTGAGCTTTGCCGAAAAAAAAGCCACATTTTGTTAAAAATTTTCATCTTAGATGCATCAGGACATTTCACAAGAATACCAATTCAAGGGGAACACCAATTTATACTGCACGAGAGGAGAATGCTGACTGACTGGCAAAGGTGTTGACACGTACAGCTACATGAATAATACATTTTTATCTGTCACCAAGACCAGTTTTAAGTCAAGTTTACATTTTGCGTGTATAATTTGCATACAAATCCTGATTTGATAGCACCATTCCTGAAAAGTAAACAACGCAAGAATTTACCGAAACTTGAAGCTTTATTAATGAATGCACGCAGAGAGAGAACGACAACAAAACCGTCAGCTACCCCTCTGCTTTAGGCTGACCAACTGCCTGTTGTATAACCTAGCCTTGCATCATATCGAGAGACAGATGGCAATTTTCCTGCTGAGACTTTAGGATTCAGGATCGCCAACAGAAGGAATAACCAACATCCTGCGTCCAATATCTGACAGATATGCTAATGGATCACACAGAGGGTGTTTCTCTCGCAATCCAATCCTGGCATCTCATCCAAGGGTATGAGCATCATGAACTCGTTCGTCAGCATTATTTCCCAGAGTGCATCGTGGGGGGAGGTCTATTACAACAAGCGCAGCACCATCAACTCCCAGGAGATCCAAACCACCACTGTGCCCACTGCTGCCACCCAGGGAGCTGGCCAATTATGCCACAACAGAGAGCACAAAGTGACCAAGTACACCATCTCCAAGTGTTAGAGGTGATGATAGAACAGGAGTTAGTGGGTGAGATAAGGTTACAACATCCAGTCCACTGAAATGGATGGACCACTTTGTGCAGTGGAAATGATACCAGTGATGACTATAAGCGTGATATCCAGCTGGACAAGAGAATTTATTCCTCTCATTGATCCAGCTGGGCCTTTCAACATGGTGTCACACAGACACCTGCCCTGATAGCACTGTGGGGGTGCTATAGCACACCCAGACCTTTACAAGGGCAATCAGGGATGGGCAAATGTTGGTCTCATTAGCACTGCATGCATTGCACCAAGGGATTTTTGAGCTCTGACCTCGGAGGGCTGCCTGAGGATTATATCCCTGTGGAGAACCCAAGCTCACTACCCTGCTGAGTGCATTACAAACAGAGGGCAGCACTGCCAGAGGTGCCGTCTCTCACATGAGATATTCAACAAGTCACTATCAGACTGCTTAGCTCCTGGGGCACAATGCCGAAGGACCACCCCCCCCAAGCAAGTTCCACGCTGAAGTTCTGATTTTGTTCACATCTTCTCACATAAAAGCACGGTGTCAAATTAATTTGTGGGCTGGGAATTCTGGGCTTCCTGAGCTTGTGTCACTAGGCATTAGGAGTCAAACTCTCAACTTGTTTGACCTCATGTAGAAAGCAGCTATTTCTCAAAAGGGAGGACAGCCCTGAAGGGGGAAGCAGCCTGGTTCTGAGACCAGTTCATCAGCCAGCCTTAAGGAATGTAATGGGACAACTTCATGAATGAAAGGAAGAGCTAAATCAAGAATGTGACCACTAAACTGATGCACTGAGCACCCAGTCCAAC